GAGGTTAGTATCTCTAATCGTAACTGCGTTAAACTTTTATATAGCGTTAATTAGACGGTACTTCTTTAGTTCCCTAGGAGCTGTCTTCTTCTAAACTAGGAAGTATAGGTTGCGATATAAGGCATAGGAAGGCTCTAAGGTACTAGCCTTTACACGCTGCCGTATTATATCCTTAACTATACCTCTTAGGCTTAGGTTTAGCTTGAACCCTAGGTGTGCCTAAGGCTTATACTCGATCGTTCGGATCCTCTATAGAGGGGCAACCTCCGGGTTAATCCTGCCTAGATGCGTAAAGTTATATACTAATACGGCTTCGCAGTTGTATAGAAGCTCGTATAGCAAATCCAGTTTAAGATCCGAAAGCTCGATACTAGGTTTAATATTCGCTAGTCTCTCCGGCGTTAGCCTCGATCCCCTAGGAATAGCGGAAAACTTTTTAGTAATATACCTCTAGTCGTATAGACTATTCCTAGGTATTAACATCGCTTCGCGGTTAAGGCACTTTTGTCGCTAGTTAGGATTTCCGCTAGGATTGGACCTATCGGTTATATATACGCTGCCTTTTACGGGCTTAATCTTATTAGCTACCCTCTTGTATAGGGTATATACGCTAACCGCTCGTAATACCCGAGCCCTCTCTCTTTAACGTTAGGCCTAGAGATTAGCGCAATAGAACAGCGCGTAAACCTTATTAGAAGTCTCCTTAAGTCGGTAGGTATATAGCTAGTAATCCTAATTTATAATTCCGGCGAAAACGTTAGATTCCTAATAACACCCCCGGGGTAGTATTAGCTCGGCGCTCTAATTAGTTAGTTCGGACTCGGGCTCGGGTAGATCCGCTTCCGGCGGCGATGCCTACGATAGCATTATTACCGAGATTCGTACGCTAGGTAGTCGTTATACTATTATGCTCGCTATCGCTTCGAGTATTCGTCTCCTTAGTATAGAGCCTAGGAACTAGCCTTATCGTACGGAGCGGCGTACCTCTAGATATAACCTATTTAAGCTATATTAACTTATAGCGTAGATTGCCGGTCTTATAACCGCGCTATAGCGTTTCCCGAAGAGCGTTTAGAAGCAGTAAGGATATCCTCGTAGGATTTGTAGCTAGTATTTCCGATATAACTAGTAAACACGACTCGGTTGCCCTTCTAGTTAGCGATAGTTCCTTCCTAGGAGCTATCGTCGCAGTTGCGCTAGATACCCCGGGTTATACGAGACTATAGTCGACCTAGAATAATTAGCGTGTTCGGGTTAGCGGCAATCTAGAAGGTAAAGGAAAAGTATATGCCGAAAGCGTCTACTATAACATTATAGTAGGCACCTACTAGCGCAACCTCCCTATTTACTCCCTATATACTAAGGGAAATATCTCTATTTATTAGCAGTCGGAGCTGTTTAGCCTAGCGCTTACTTATAATAAGTGACTCTAAACTATTATCAAGCATTACTAGCAACTACTAACTATAGCTTCCGATAGTAACTTAAATGTAGATAGCGGGAACGACGGCAAAGGAACGGGTAACTGCGGAAAGGTCTATATTATTAGGGATAGAGTAAAGTTCCTTAGGTCGAGGAGGTCCTACTCGACCGATTTATTAGCTAGTAAATCGGACAGCCTTAATAGAAACTAAAACCGAAGCAGAGTCGGTATTATTATTATCCCCTCGGCCTATCTCCTTAATCCCCTCTTCGTTAGCATTATCGATAGTCTCCTAGCTCTCGTAGGTTACTAATTCGCCTTCTACTAACTCCTAGGCCCCTAAAAATTTAGGAAGGAACTATAGGGAAGAGACGTCGATATAGTCCTCTCGCCCCTATTTACGTCGGAGGGCTGCAAGGTCTTTTATAAAGGTAGTATCGTTAGGAATCCGGCTCTAGAATAGGTTAGTAGGCAAGCCGTATACTAGAAGCTCCCCTATAGATACGTTAGACTTAAGGTCTAGGAACTATAAAGCCTAGAAGAGAGCATTTGCCTTTATATCGTAGGAGTTAGTAGGCCCGGCACTATACTTCTTTATATACCTATTAAAGCGAAAGCTCTTTAGGTCGGCTAACTTTCGTTTATAGGCCGGCGGGTTAGCTAGGCCTAGGGTACTACTAAGGTCGGTAGTAGCATCCTCTATATCGATATCTAAAGTCTCTAGGACCTCCGGAGTAGCTATACTAGCTCGGGTTGTACGGTCTTTAGCTGTCTAGAGTGTTTTAGTCTTAGCGACTGATTCTCGCTGTTTCTTAGCCTTATTAGCTGCCTGCTTCTTAAGTATCCTAGTAGGGGCTGCCGCACTAGGGCGGGTAGGGTTTTGCGGGCTCTTGCCCTTACCCTAGGACTAGGTTTAGGACCTTATAGTAGCGTAGATATCTATACTGTTCTTAGTAACCGCGTAAACATTAGTAACTGCGTCCGGGTCCTAAGACACAAAGTTGACTTTAATAGGCTTAGTAGTACTATTACTGCTCCGCTCCTTAACCTGTTTTGCCCTAACCTTCTAAGTTTCTCGTTTAGTAATAGCGGCGAGGGTACTGTTCCTAGTATCCTTAAACTCGATCTTGCTACTATACTTCTTCTCTAGAAGACTCCTAAGTTAAGGCAGCTTCGGAGCTCTACGATCCTACTCGAAGTTAATCTTGTCGCTAGTGTCGGTATAGTAGAACCGACTATTTACTTATATAACGAGCTTCCTCTTAAGAAGCTCCTTCTAGATAGGGTAGTCTAATTAAATATGTTTAAAACCGCCGTATATCTAGCACTTGCTATCTAAGTTAGAATAGATCTTCCGTATAGCGTAGACGTTAACTAAAGGGGCCTTAGGGTAGTTAGGATCGGAGACCTAGTAGACTAGTAGTACATCCTTTAGTATACTAGCATTAAGGACCTCCCTAACTCGCTATAGTGCTTTCGTATTAAGGTTGAGCTAGGCTAGGGATTTAGCTAAGTCCGCAACGTCCTAAGAATGCTTAGTAACGGTAGGAGTTACGGTACTAGGACTACTTTGCGATTTAGGAAGAAACTTAGGCCCTCTAGTTCCCGAGGCATCGTTCCTTACCTAGGCTAGGTTATTCCGGTCCTCGCCGTAAATAAACTTCTTTATATCGGCGGAGCTGTTAATGTCGTCCTTAACAGCCTCTAGGACCTCTTTATACTTCCTAAAGGTCTTAGGATTGGCTTCGCTAAGCTTATAGCGACGGAAGATACGCTTAGCCGTAGACTACGGCAACCCTTTAAGAAGTAGCCTCGTTCTCTAAGAATTCTCGAGGTCCTACTAGTTAATGCCGTCCGCTAACTTAACAAACTCGCGGACGTACTCCTTTAGGTCGTTATCTTCGGTGCGCCTCTCTATATAGAGGTTCTTAAGCTACGTACGACTATCTTTAATACGACGGCTATCGCGATCCCGATACTCCCTTATAAAGGCCTGCTTAAAGACCTCCTAGTCGGCATTAGACTTATCGTCCTTTTCTAGGTAGCTAACTAGGGTTCTAAGGGTTCGGTAAAGCTTAGTAATAGTAGTCCTCGTAAGGGACCGGACCTTGTACTAGTCCGACTCCTCTTCGAGTCCGTACTCGGCTAAGTTGTCCTTAAAGCGTTCTACGTACGCCGTAGCGTTCCACCCTTCGAATAAAGGGTTCCTACTGCTTCCTAGCTCTAGTAGGCGACGCCTATTCTAACGGAGAAGGTTAGTTTGCCCTTAAATTATCTTTATAACGATATTATAGAGAGCCTCGGGCGTAGAAGGCTTAATAGCCCCTAGTTCGACGGCGCTTATAACAACTAGTCGTCGCCTAATTTCTTCGTTAATAGGGTCCGGTAGGTTATTAGATTCCGAAGATTCCGCTAATTCGTAATACTCGTTTTCGCTAGAGCTAGAGCTTATTCGATTGTTGTAAAGTAGTTAAAATAAAATGCTATAGGAAAGTGTTTTTAGTATATATTATAGGTTTAGTTTGTTTCGATATTGCTATGCGAGAGAATAGTATACTAGGCTATTTTCTTCTAATATTACCCCTAGGGTAGTATTAGAATTTAGCCTCCTAGGGGTCGCCTATATACCCCTAGGAGCTAAGTTTAGTATTAGACGAAAGCCGCTCGGAGGGAGAGACTATAATCTCTATTTACACCTAGATCCTAGAAACTAGCTCGTATCTCCTTTAGCTAGACGAGGGGGCGGGGACCTTCTTTTTCTAGTAGAAGGCTAAGCACTATCCGAACGAGGCAGCGAATCTCGAAGCAATCTACCCGGTCGATAGGGGAACTATCTAGGCATCCGACCTATAATCTAGAAATTACTATCGTATAAATAGTCTTAGCAAACTAAGCAAGGCCGATAGGTAATTAGTCTATCTCCTCCTTAAGCGGGGCTTATCTCGAGCAAGCGGTACTAAATAGGTCTTCGACCCGGAGCCGAGTCCTTAGAAGCTAGCTATAGTTATAGACTAGGCCCTAAGCTATAACAGTCCTAAGGGTTTATAGCTTTTCGGGGTTAAAGCGATGCCCTCGTTAAGAGGTTTCTCTGCTTGTCGTAACGGCCCCTTAAGATACTTCGGTATCGTCCGTATCGTAGGCTCTTATCGTACCCTCGCTTTAGTTATAGCTATTCGTGCCTAGAGACTACCTTTAATATACCCGAACCTATTAGATATAAAGAGATAGCCCTACCTTCGGCTCTAATAAAGAACGGAAACTAATACTACTACTACTACTTATAGCAATAGTATAGGCTACCGAGGGTAATATAACCTATAGCAATATAGGCAGCTATATTTAGCAAGATAGGATAACGAGACTGTCGCTTAGGCTAATAACTAGAGCCCTATAATATAGGCATTATAGAAGTATAACATAAACAATATACTGTACGAGGTTAATGCTCTACCTACAATACAGAAGGAGGCCTCTTATATAGGCTCAAAACTGGCCCATGGGTGTGGGGCCGGTTACCAGCCAATATTAGTCAAAGCTAACTAACCAAACAGGCTTGTTTTGCTAAAGCGACGTGGATTTGATCAACTACCAACGGGCGTCAACAACGGCGAGCTTGTGAAGGGAGTTTCTCACCGAAAACAAACATGCCCTTTCCCTTTACACTCCCAACCACAAGCTCAGTTCTCCTCTCAGACTACTTTGACAGTGTCACGCATCCTTCTCTACCGCTGACGGCAACCACAAAGCGCAGCATATTGAAAGATGCGTTGAAGAAACACAAACGCCTCTCGGCCCAAGCCAGGGCTGTTAACCTTCCCACCGTCCAAGATGCAGTCAACGGCTATCTTCCGTATCTATTAGCCTTAAATACGGGCGCTAGCTACCGCGATATTGGACCGGAAAAGCTGGATGTCGAGGTCAAGAAGCCTCTTGAAGTTGAATGGCGAAGCACTCTGTCGCCTACTCTGCCCGGCCGCGAAAGTGCTCGGCCTAAGCTGACAGGACTGCACCATGAAATCGCATTCGCCTTATCGACTCTTGCTTACACGCATTCGCTATTGGCACGTTCACAGCTTCGTCTCCTCTACGGCTCAGCTGTTTTGTCTGCAGATCAGCGTACTGCGACCATCGGCACAGCCATGAAGCATTTGCTCGAGGCACACAGCGTCCATTCACATCTGCTTTCACTTCCCTCAATATCTGCTGCCAGAGATGGCCCTGTGGACATCCAAGCATCCACCATTTCTGCGCTGGCTTCTCTCGCTATGGCCGAAGCAACGATTATCGTCGTGGCGAAAGATGATCCATACATCGCTGCTGTGGCGGACACCAGGAATGAAAGCAATACAGATTGGATGTTCAAAGCGCCTACCATCCCGAAGGTCCGAGCACATCTCTTTGCGAGACTCTGCCTGGCTGCAGCCGAGCACGCGAATAGTGCGGTTGGCCTCTTAGCACGAAGTGGTGCTGGAAAGGTTGACGAGGATCTGGTGAGATACGCCGAGGACTTGCGACGTACAGCTAGAGGCAAAGCCGCGCGTTTTCTCGCCATCGATGCAGAATTGTCAGGAAAGACTGGCGAAGGACTGGCATGGCTTCGAGGGTCGAGGAAGGAGCTAGGTCTTGCTGTCGATCTCGAAGATGGCAAACGAAAAGGGTTCAAAGGTCTGAAGCAGAGTTGGCAAGAACGTCGCGAAGACAAGAAGGTCGAGAAAGGTGGTGAATGGGGCATGGATGCTGGCCGTTTGGAGGAAGCGCGAGTGGTGGAGATGCTGGAGGCCAAATGGGACAAGGAGAACAGCACAATCAATGTGCAACTCGTGCCGCCATTCGAGCCCCTCCTTGCAAGCATGCCATCTGGAAGAGAGTATCACACCGCTCAGCCCTTCAATCCTCCATCGCTTGATATAGCGACTTTGTCAAGCATGCGAGCACCACCGGAGCCGGATGAAAAAGCATTTCGTGGAGAAGAAGCCGACAGTGGAGACGAGGAAGCGTTGGGACGGAGTAGCGATCCTGTGGGTGCGTTCCCGGGCACTTCAGGTGAATATGGACGTAGTGCGACCAGCAATAGCTACTACTGATGTGGGACTAAATCTGGTATCACACACGACATAAAGGTTAACCCACCTCCCTGCACAACAAAACCTCTGTTCCCTCACAAGTCCATCAAATAGCACTCCGACCTACCTTCCTCAACGCTCTTGGCTCGCCTTCCACAAGCACTGCGGCACAGATGATGCAAGCCTTTCGCAGCCTCACAAGCCAGCCTGCGAGCCTCGAACAGATCCGTGATGATATGTAAATGGAAGCGTACAACCTTCGGGACAGAAACAGAGTTGCGCATCGGCCCTGACCGCTCATGATCCGCCGCAGGGTTGTGAATTCGATGCCCCACCAGCCCCGCTCTGAGACCGGAATCTGACAGCCCTGTTTCCTGTTACACTCGAGTCGATGATAAAAGCAGTCCAGTCATGACCTCTCACTCTCACTCACATGATGGAGCTTCGCACTCGCACGCAGCAGAGGACCATGGCCACACTCACGAAGTTTTGGATGGTCCAGGATCCTTTCTTGGCCGTGAAATGCCCATCATAGAGGGTAGAGACTGGAAAGACCGAGCTTTCACAGTCGGCATTGGTGGGTATGTCCAGACAAGAACGCAGGAGCAGACGACCAAGGCACATTGTGAGCGGTTGAGGCTGATATATATGGTGCATGAAGACCCGTAGGTTCCGGGAAAACTGCCCTGATGCTTGCACTATGCCATGCCCTTCGCGACAAGTACAACATCGCCGCCGTAACCAACGATATCTTTACCCGCGAAGACTGCGAGTTTCTCACCCGGCATAAAGCTCTACCAGCTGAGCGGATACGAGCCATCGAGACCGGGGGATGTCCGCATGCAGCTGTACGAGAAGACATATCAGCGAATCTTGCTGCCCTCCAAGAGCTCCAAAGAGAATTTGGTACCGAGATACTGCTGATAGAAAGTGGTGGAGATAACTTAGCTGCGAACTACTCACGAGAGCTGGCTGACTACATCATATATGTCATCGATGTCAGCGGAGGAGACAAGATCCCAAGAAAAGGAGGGCCTGGCATAACGCAGAGCGATCTTCTGATTGTCAACAAGACAGATCTGGCGGAGCTGATTGGTGCCGACCTGAATGTCATGGACAGAGATGCAAGAAAGATGCGGTAAGTCATGCAAGACAGCGTCTTTGAGCAGGATTAACGTCTGTGGCCAGTGAGGGAGGGCCGACCATCTTCGCGCAAGTCAAGAATGGCAAAGGCACGGACCATATTGTGGATCTAATCCTCAGTGCGTGGAGGAGTAGCGGAGCGGCGGCCGGAAGCGCATCGAGTGGCAGCAAGTAGCCAATGAGGAAGCCCCTGTATCTGGATGTTGTGTCTAGTCAAGTGCGCAATTGGAGGCGCAGTCCTGTCAATTGGCGGTGCTCTGTGAAGATGTAAGGTCACCAGCCATGGTCCATTGAGTGTGACTGGTCTGTAGCTGACGTTCATGCGTTGTCTCACAGCTGCGTGGGCGGCAAGCAAGATTTATACTTCGGAGCTCAAGTATGGGACTCGTTGCGAGTAACGGTAGACGGGAGGCTTCAGGTTGACGGGAGTGTCGAGTGTCGGCCATGCCCCTGGCAGCGCAAGGTTGCTTGAGTCAATATTGAAGGGGAGTCCCGGCAATTTGATTGAGGATCGTCAGTTGACAAAGCCACTGAGCAGCCTCGGCATTCGCAAGCTCTCCGCGCGTTCCGCGTGCACCGTGCATCAAGGCATGTGCTGCTGCCTCGTGCCACGATGAGTTGTTTCGAATGACTTCAGCTTGCAACCAAGCTTTCTTTGCCCGTTTCCAAGTATTGTTATATAATGCCAATGCCTCCACAGCCCTCTTCCTCTCGGTAGCAAGACCTCTCGCAGCCTTTGTCTGGTCGTAATAATGGCTCTGCTATCCCCACAACTGCGCAAGCAGTACAACGTCAGAACTCCCAGAGGCCGCCAACTGCTCCTCACGCAAAGCCTCGATGTCTTTCGAAACGTCCTCCTCGCTCTGTTCATAATTCGATTGGCTCGATCGACGTGGTGGAGACTGCGTGGTTATGGCATCTTCGCCTCCATTAAACAGCTATATGGCCATATCTACCGCAGACTCTATGCACTCTTTCTGCGCCTGCCTTTTGTACAGGCCAAGGTCCAGGCCGACGTGAAGAAAGCAATCACAGATATCGAGAAAAAGCTGGTGCCTTCCGGTCCAGGTGTCATCAATTACAAAGCACTGCCAGCTCAAGGATGGACGCCCGAGCAAGTACGCGCAGAGCTGGAGAAGCTGGGCGAGATGGAGCATACAAGATGGGAAGATGGAAGGGTCAGCGGTGCGGTGTATCATGGCGGTGATGAGCTTGCAGGGTTGCAGAGCGATGCCTTCAAGCGCTTCGGCGTGAGCAATCCAATCCACCCAGACGTCTTTCCAGGTGTGCGAAAGATGGAGGCAGAAGTTGTCGCTATGACTTTGGCCCTCTTCAATGCGCCTGATGCAGGAGCGGGCGTGACCACCAGTGGAGGGACAGAGAGTATATTGATGGCGTGTCTAGCAGCACGACAAAAGGCATTTTTTGAGCGAGGCGTGACTGAGCCTGAGATGATCCTTCCGAACACTGCACACACTGCCTTCCGAAAAGCTGGCGATTACTTCAAGATCAAGATGCACTTGGTGCCTTGCCCTGAGCCCAGCTATCGTGTTCACATACCTTCTGTGCGCCGGCTGATCAATCCAAATACCATACTGCTGGTGGGATCGGCTCCAAACTTCCCTCACGGCATTGTTGACGACATTCCTGCTCTATCTCGACTGGCTCTGAAGCACAAGCTTCCACTACACGTAGATTGCTGTCTAGGATCTTTCGTGATAGCTTTCCTCGCAAAGGCTGGCTTCCCGTCTCCAGACTTCGACTTTCGCGTGCCAGGAGTTACATCGATCAGCGTCGACACCCACAAGTACGGCTTTGCTCCTAAAGGCAACAGCGTGGTACTCTATCGGACTGCAAAGCTTCGAAAGTACCAGTACTACATATGTCCAGACTGGTCAGGCGGCGTCTACGCGTCACCTAACATTGCTGGTTCAAGACCAGGCGCATTGATTGCCGGTTGCTGGGCATCGCTCATGCGCATGGGTGAGGATGGCTATCTTGACACCTGTCTGAAAATCGTTAGTGCTGCGAAGCAGATTGAATACGCCATTAGAACTTCGGACAGACTTCGCCAGAGCATTCAAGTCATCGGCAAGCCGATGGTCTCAGTCGTGGCATTCAAGGCTGCGCCAAATCACAAATCGCCAAGTTTGCTGGTCGACATCTATGACATTGCTGATGCCATGTCTGCAAAAGGTTGGCATCTAAATGCTTTGCAAGATCCACCTGCGATTCACGTTGCTGTCACTGTCCCAATCGTGAACGCAGTCGATCAGCTTGTCAAAGACCTGGAGGACGTAGTGGAAGCTTGCAAAGGACACGCAAGCACCAAAAAGGGCGATGCAGCGGCGCTGTATGGTGTCGCCGGCAGTATACCGGATAAGAGCATAGTAAGAGACCTCGCGAGTGGGTTTCTAGATACTTTGTACAAGGCTTGAATACCTGAGACAAAGCTTCATCAGGGAGCGGACGGCCTTCTGCGTACTGATCCGGCAAGCGCTGGCCATACCTCCATCTTGCACCAGCTGGGAACAGCGCAGACTTAAGAAGAGGACGGCCTTAGGGTTACCTGAACCAGGCTGTTGGGGTCACCTCAGTCAGGCTAAGGCGGCTAAGCCTCTATATCGCTTCTCAAGCTTTTGAGGCGTCCATCATCTCCACAGCTTCTGCAATCCTTCGGGCTTCTGAATTCTCCACTTGTGGTTCCACCACGCACCCAACTTTTAATGTGGTAGACTCGTAGGAGAATGCAGAGTGCTCAAAGTTGCTTGACCTGACAGGTCACTTGTGAGCAAACTCGTACTGAATCACGCGGCGACGGCATTTATGTGGAGAAGCATGCTACATAGTTGGGGCCGTACAGCTGAAACTTGACAGCGTCGAGAGAAGCACGACTGGGACATGGCGCGCCGAAGGATCACGTCTGTCCTGTATCCATTTCTGGAACACCTTTGCGAAAGTGTCGATTTGTTAGTGCGGACACACCAGCGATTCATGGCCGCATGGCGTACGGCCTCAAAGTACGTGCGGCGATATTGGGACGCCTCGAGCACGCCTCACGCGGTCCCTCAATGTGATTCCTATCCCAACGTGCCTCAGCTGAATGATCGCCAGCACTGATAGTTTTAAGGCATACCAATTCTAGACTCATTAAGTACTCGGGGCCTTATTTGACCCAGCCTCCAGCTGCATGTTCTTTCCGCCAGAAGATTTATATGCTTGGCTTCCTACAACTATTCGCCTTGGTCTCGCTACTGACTTGATTGCAACGACAGCGAGGTCACTAAATTTGTCTGCCGTTTGAGGATAGATTCGAAATGGCGAAAGCCAACAACAGTCATCTCCCGTTCTTCAGGAGTCCTTTGATGGCACATGAAGGGTCCGGGGCCTCTTCCAACACAGAAGACAACAAGACCGCCATCGTGCAGCCCTACCTGGAAGAACAGTCCGATGATGCAGCTTTTCACGATCATCCGCAATTCCGTCGACACGCCGAAGCTACCAATGCCGAGCTGTTCTACGACCTGTTCTTCGTGGCCAACTTAACCGTCTTCACTAACGTCCATGAGGTATCAGCGCCATGATGGCGAGCTTGAACAAAAGCTGACAACATGCAGGTCAACGACAGCGACACACTGAAGCAATACATCGGCTTCTTTTGCGTCCTGTGGTTTACATGGTGAGCAACGCGTCGATCATAACGCAACATAAGACGATGACTAACGATATCATTTACTTTTCAGGTACCAGGTCGGTCTCTACGATGTTCGATTCTCAACAGACTCCGTCTTCGAACGGACCGCCAAGTATTGCCAATTCCTTGTGATGATGGGCTTCGCAATCATCGGACCCAAGTTCAATGTTGGGAAACACATGCAGTCATCTGGCGAGGATGATGCCGATGAGGAAGGACCTGCTTTGCCATACTTCAAGGCTCTGACGCTGGTACTCATGGCGTCGCGCTTGGTTCTCGTATTCCAATACGTTGTGTCGTTGTGGTTTACGCGACATTACAAGCAGACGATTCTGCCCATGTGTCTCATGGCAGGAACATACTTCATCGCCGCTATCATTTATCTCGGCATCTTCTGGAGCTTCCACTCTGTCGAGCAAGGATCGGATCATACTTACATTGCATGGTATGTGGTCGCCATTCTGGAGACCATTGTTGCTACATCGGTCTCCTCCATCTGGCGCAACATCAGCTTCAAGGGAACACATCTAATTCAGAGAATGAGTCTACTCACTCTCATAATCCTTGGCGAGGGTGTGATGGGTCTTGCTGAGAAGGTAACGAACTTCCTTACTCCCAAATCATAGCTCGTTCTAACCTCTCCTTCCAGTGCCAACGCATCGTCCACTCAGAAGGAGCTTTAAGCTTCACCGCCTCGACAGTCGGCAACATAATCTGCGCAGTAGCAATCTACTACTTCCTCTACATGCTCTACTTCGACTGGATCGAAGAAGACCACTTCGGCACAATCCGGCAACAAATCTGGTCCTTCCTGCACTTCCCCCTCCACCTCGCCCTCGTCCTCGCAGTCGAAGGCGTAGCCCAATGCGTAACCTGGCGCGCAGCAATCGTGCGCGGCAACGAATTCACCAACCAAATCAACACCTGGGCTCAGATCGCCAACGAAACAAATCCAAACTGGACCGAAATCGCAACTCAACTCAACGACACGGTTCAAGATCTCGTCTACAAATCTCTCCTCACGACCAGCAGTCTCAGCGAAACCAGCGAGATTTTGACTTACACTTACCCCAACGCCATCAACGCCACCCAAGTCGTCGCAAACGGCACCGCGGATCCCGAAGCTGCCTGGGGTGCGGTCGAATGGTCATACTACACCCTGTACACCACAATCCTGAACATAGCAGGTTTCGCCGGCTCAGAGAACAGCACGGAGCTCAACGTGCTCTCGAACACGATCGTGGATTTCTCAGACGAAAAGGCTTCGGATGAGTCGTCTGATGCTCTGGTTCGAGCCGCGGGAGTTTTCGATTTGACGTTTGTGTACTTTTTCACGACGGTGGGGTTGGTTGTGATTTTATGCTGTTTGCTTGCGGCGTTGAGTAAGAGGGAGAAGACGTGGATGCATTGGATTCGGTTGGTTGTGAGTGGGTTGCTTGGGCTCGCGTTGTGTTTGCTTTCGATTATGGATTTGACGGATGCGGGAGGGAATTTTGCTTTCTCGCCTTGGGTTTTGCCTTTGGTTGCGATTTGTCTGTTCGCTGGTGAGTTGATTTCTATGGTCTGCTGATTCATTCGGTGGCTATGCTGACTTGTGTGATACAACAGTGGTCGTTTTGAACAGCGTTAAGCCGGCGGTACCTGTGCTGTCAAGAGTTGCTAGTAGGAAGAGTGTTTCCATGTGATGGAGGTGCGTTTCACGACTTGGTATCTAAAAGCTGGATGCGCCTGCGCAGCTAGAATCCGCCAATCCGCCATAGACATTTGATGCGTCTCCAATCCAAGCTCTTGCTCTATCCAACCGTTTTCTCCGACTTGTCTTCACACTTCATCCAACTCGAGCTTGCTCTTCCCAGTTCCCCCTCAAAAGCGCCTCGCTATAGCAGTAGCATTTCCGAACAATGCACAAAGCAGTGATTCGCGGTAATCCGTCGTGATAGAGCACATTATGCAGACTGGCATCCGAGAATTTTGAATTCTGCCGATCAAATTTCGGGGTCTGGATTGGATCGAATGTCAATCCTCGGCCAGTTCTGATTGTATCGGCGGTGTGTACGAAGGGCGTACCTTCATTTTCACCTTCGAAGGGGACGGCGTTGCTTCCACAATCAGGACATTTGGAACAAACCATGCAGTCTTCCGCCTTGAAGCTCTCAGAGTCTGACCTTCCGCTGATAGTGACACGATGAACTTTGCCACCGGCTTTGTAGACTGGTGAGTCGTATGGGACAGGTTGCTGATCGGTTTCATTCGGGGTCCAGAACGCTGAGTCAGAAGCCCAGACTATTTGCGACTTGTGGATCATCTGGAGCGGCGTTTCTGTGTACCAGGCGTAAGTGTTTGAATTGCGCGGCGCAGTTCTTGGTGATGGCTTGGAGTTGATCTGAGGCAGGGGCTGTGAATTGAGAGGTGCGGTCGTTGAGGGCGATTCGGAGTCGATTTCCGTCGTGGATGCTGCATCTTGCATGATCCTATCGACATCTTGCTGAGCCGTGTTGTCGTCGTCGTTATCATCTTCTTCCTCTTCATGACGGCGATTCGCAGCCATGCGCGCATCGAATTCCGCACGCCGAGCAGGCGTGAGACGGGCATACTCCTTGCCGGGATGGCACTTCTCGATGTTCGAGTTCTCGTAGCATTCGACGCAGTAGTCGCTCTGAGCGCAATATACGCACTGATAGCTGTCGACGTCCCCTTTCGTGATATTGAGATCGCATCCATCGCAGAGCGTGTCGCCTGAAAACAGTCAGCCCAGGCCAAGTGGCACACGTCTCTGATACTTCCCTGCGTTCGCGTCTTCAGGATCAACAGGTGTCCTCTCTTCCTTCTCCTCCCCGAGCGCCTCATTTGCACGTTGAACTCGATCGCGCAGTTCATTCCATTGCTCCTCGGCGCCTTCTAGAGGTCCTTGCAGAACAGATCTCCAAGCGGCCTCGCGACCCTTGCGATGTCTATTCGACCAACAAGACTTCAGACTGTCCGCATCCCGTCCATCTTTCAGTCCGACGGCATCATGTTCCTCCGCGAAAACGATATTGAAGATGACGGCGCGGCGCTCAGAATCCGATGAGCTTGGAAATTGCTCGAACAGCAGTCGGACGACTATTCGTTCGTCTGCGCTGTAGTTTGGTGTGGCGCCCATTACGTTGGCGTTCTAGGATTGAGCATTGTATGGTGATGCGACCTGTCCAGCGAGTTGCAGCTCGACGTTGAAGTTCGGCCAATTTCCGGGTTTGCTTCACTTCGCGAAGCTCAAAAGAGAATTGTTTGTTGATTAAGATGGCGCACATTCGCGGTGATGGCCGAGCTTTTGCCGGTGTCTAGCGTCTTCACATGCCTCCTTGATCTTCCACGTTCTATCAGAAAGTCTTTCCTACAGTGCGTCCCCTGTTTCGTTTCATGGGCATGCGACTACCGGAGCGTGCCACACAGAGGAGTGATGGCCCTTTGACAGATTTGCCTTTCGGCATCTTGTTGGCGACAATGGAGAGTAGTGTACAGCCTTCCTCCAAGATCTATACACAACAGCTTCCACGAGTTCCTGCTCGCTCGTCTCTGACTCTGCCATCTTGGCCCAGAGAGCTCAGTCGTGAACGCCCTTCGCTCGTAAAACTGATAGAGCGGAATGATAAATGCTATTTTTCGCCAATTCATATCAACCACAATCCCGAGTCTTGACCTGCACTCATAAAACTTCACCAATAATTTTGCTCGCCTCTTTGTAAGTCGCCAGGAGCTTCTCGCACTTCTCACGTTCCTCTCTTACGCCATCGTCCTCATACAGAAGTTCCTCGAACAGAGTTTCGCGGTAAAGCTCAGACACCAGACGATTCTGCACTACGTCTTTGGTATGGTTCACGAGCAGATGCATCACCGCCTTCGGCACCTGGTCGGCAATCGTTTCCCGGACAATGTTGAAGTAGTTGTTGATCAGTCTTCGAATGAGCTCGGTCTCGAGGGATTCACGCTCAGTTAGGGCAGGTCCGGTAGGATCGTCCTGAGCGGATGTTAGCATGTGCGTATGATGGACAGATATCAGCAAAAACTTACCAACGCGTTCTCCTCCTGCGCGAAGTCGTCACTGATCACAGGCTCAGGCTGCGGCAGAGGTCGCGTGTCACCTCTCCTGAAGCTTGCGGTGATGTTCGGCTCGATATTCTGGCTGACATGTCTGCTGGGCCCTGACGCTCCTGAGAAGCCTGAACTCTGGCCTGGCAGTGGTCCGGTTGTTGGGCCGTTCTCCTTTCCAAAGAAGTAGTTGAGAAACGAATCTCTGCCGCCGCTCGGAGCACCATTTGGCACACTCGTAGAGTGCGTAAGTCTGTGTCCATCTCGACCAACGGCGGGGCTCATGCTTCTACTCTCCTTTGCCTTGGCCGCCGAACGCAATGGCAAGACGCGACTGTGCTCCTCTTCATCGTCTTCAGGAGTCTCGGTGCCGTTTACACCGTTCAGCTCCTTCCGTCTTCGCTCGTCTCGTTTCCTCTTCTCCTCAGCGGCTGCTGCCTTCTTCTCTTTTTCATGCTTGTCTTGCATGACACCACTCATGGCAGCTGCAGCGCCAAGGAAGTTTGGATGATTTGTATTAATGTATGCGCGCTGTATTGAAATCAAACTTTCCACATATGTAGAGGTCGGCCCGAGACGTTCGCGCAACAAATCTGATATCACCTCGATCAATTTGCCTTGGAGTCGTGGATATCTTGCAAGCTCGTTCGAGTAGCATGTGTGGCAGATTTTGATAAGCTCCTCATACACGAGCTCGACACATCGTTGACTGGGAATCTCAAGGAGCTTGATTTGTGGCTTCACCAATAGATCGAATGCCAATTCGGGCACGAATAGCGAAGGTCGCGGTCCAGTGGAGTTTCGTATGGCGGTGCGAATGTCGAGCGCGGTGAGGTTTTGAGTGGGATCAATCAAGTCCAAGCTGTTGCCGAAAACAGAGTTGAAGATATAGTATATCCGCGCACCACCACATAGCTCCTTGGTGCTGATCTCAGAAGACGTACCATCGATGGAGGAGATGAATGATGTTGCGAATCGGGTCATGAGCTGAAGTATTAATGATCCTCTGTGCTCCTTTCCGGTGAAGGTATCTGTGCCATATGATGCCAGCTCCTGCTGAGTCTGGCCCATCAAAGTGTTGAGTCGCGCCTTGATGTCGGGCAACCTTTCTCGGATGTGTCCCATCAGGGTTTGGCTGAGAGTCTTTGCCAAGAACTGAGTTCCACATCGCGAGGCGATGTTTCGATAGGCTGGGTGCATGCGGAAGAAGTCGCGCTCTGCCTGGAGAGCATCTTCCATTGACTTGTTGCCCTGAATGTCCTGCTGCGATCTGTTGACCACACCAATGAATCCGAGCTTGAGTGGGTAGACTCGTCCTGACAAGATATCCAACGCGTTTGTGCCATGGTCCATCAAGTCGAGCTTAGTCAGAACACCGACGGTACGCTTGCCAGTTGGGTCGACTTGTCGCGCGAGCTTGAGAGCCTCAGAGTTGACAAGATCCACGTTTGCAGGCGACACGGCCAAGATGATACTGTTTGGTTTGGCGATATACTCAGAAATCAGATTGCGCGTTTGCTTCTCGATGTCTGAGGGTTGGTCGCCAATGGGAACCTTGGTTAAGCCCGGCAAATCCACGAGTGTGAGACTGAGCACACTTGGCGAATAGACTTTGAGGTTGATAGGTTGTCTGTTGATGCCCTTATTACTGCCTGCGATTCTCGCTGTCTCATTTTCGATCTCCCTCTTCACCTCTTGGAAGTCGTAGAACTTGCGGCCGGGCATATGGCTGAACTCTCCCCACTCATTTTGTTTTTGTCCTGCGGCCGCGGCCGGTGTATGAGGCACGTGTATTTCGTGATCGCTAGGCTTGTCGGCCTCGGATGGGATATTGATGAGCTGGAGAATGAGAGGTCTGCGCGTGACGATGCCGCTACCGCGAGGCAAGAAATCTCTGGCAACAATGTTTTCGAGCACAGACGACTTGCCAGAGGACTGCGATCCGACTACAACCTGTGAGAGCGTCAGTCATGATCTGCGCACATACCAGCTGCTTCGATCGCGCCATCTACTCTCGGTAGGATGCATGAGGTGTACGGACGTACGATTTGTGGCAGATCGAGAGAATCGTTGCCGATGGTGTTGAAGACCAGATCCTGCAGCCGGTTGACCACGCTCAGCAGCTCCTCGCCGAGCGCAGCCATACTGACGGCTTTGTCGCGACTTGGATTGCGAGGATATGTACAGAGTGGTCGCTTGATGCGGGAGTGTCGTGTTGTGATTGCTGCTCTCGCGCTCGTCCTCCACCCAGCTTCCAGCTATCCTCCTCTCCTCCTGTCCGATCAATGTGCGTGTGTTTTCGTGGATGCAGATCTTCGGGATGATTCGTCTCGTAGCGTCGATGCTATAGCGGCGCGCCCAGCAGAGATGGAGGGGATGTTCTTGATGCAGAGGCAACGGGGGGGAGGGGGGCTTGCGGCTCGCCTGCGTCTCTCTCAACTCATCAGAGCCAGCAAGGCCAGGGACAGGTTCTTGCACTTCGCCAAGCAAAACACCGTTCCTTTTTCGGCTAGGCTGCACAAGCTGCACTGGTGATTCTACCGCTACGTCACTCGCGACGCCAGCTCCATTCACATGTCACTCTGACTCTCAGCATCTTTATTCCATCCTCACAGCTGTCATCATTCGCTTACATTAGGCCATGCTACGATGCTCTCCACGAGCAATGGGCACTTCCTGATGGAATGGAATCATAGCCAGATCCACCAGGCTCTCTGAACCTACCAGCGGATCATGTTCTACTGATACCACATTGCTTGGACGATGCTAATTTGAAGGGGCTGATCACCCTTAAGCGAAGGCTGAACTCACTTGGATTTAAACATAGGAATCGTTGCAAGCTAAGAAGCCTCTTTGTCACAATGAAGGTACGAAGAAGGGTCATACGGGTATTGCGCCTCGCAACCTCACCAACCTCGTCTTGATCGGTGGTCAGGTGCTACAAAGGATGCAGCAAGAGAGAGAGGATCTGTAGATTTTTCGGCGACTGCTATATTCCTGTTCTGATGCGAGGAGAGCCCGTCGAGAAGTGGCACGAGAGCAGATCTGAGAGTGTTCGACGTAAGAAGTCAGAAATTGACCCAAGTAGCTCCGTCGCTTTACGTCCATGTGAGGAGTAGAGTAATAGATCCTGGTTCTATTTTGGCGCCATAAGTCAGTTGTTATTGGTCATCGGGGTGCGATTGCTGCCTTCTCTTCCAAGGCATTTTCCGCCCTTCGAATCAGCTCTTCGTAAACAGTCCACGTCAATGCACTACTGACGGCTTTGCGGCCTATACGCAGACTGAGGCCACAGAACATACTTTTGACACCTTCCTGCTGCAGCATCATCCTCGCTGCTGTCAGCATGTTCCTATATTTCCCAGGGGCAATCTGGAGTCTTGTCTTGATGGCGTCGAAAGGATTCGTCAAAGTCGTGGCAGTCATGGCGGCTAATACGCCTGACACGAAATTGATACTGGCTGAGCTCGACATCGATCGGACTGCAGGTTCACCATTAGGGCCTGCAACAATCTGCGACATCTTGCCAAGCTGCGCCTTCGATTGTTCATAGATCAAGACGTACAGTCCGGCGTAGGGAGCATCCCGAACTGCTGTAGCACCAAAGCCAGCAAAGAAACCTCTTGCTCCTTCCGTCCGCACAATATCTCTCGCGGCTCCTGCCAGACTGGTGTAGGAGTAGTGCGTGCTCTCATATCTGACCTTGAGGACTGTAATAGGGTTCATGATGAAGCCTGCAGCCACTCTGGCAGCGGCGCCGGTAGCCAAGTTCGCCACATTTCCAAGTTTCGGAAGTACAGAGGATCCTTTGGAAGTCGTCGCTTCACCAGCTAACGGCATTGCCGGTAGTTTGGAGACATATTGCCTCATCTGATTCAGCATCCCAAAGTAGAGAGCTGAGCCAAAGCCAGTTCTAATGACCGAGGGCGATGTGCCGCGCCATAGTTGACGAATCGGACTCGGTCCATCGAGGACTTCACGAAGAGCTTGTCGAAGCGAGGAAGCGTGCGACTGCTGTACACGAGTCTTGAGCAAGTCTGCTGGTTGTAGTAATGCCGCACTTGCGCAACCAGAGCCTAGCCCAGCAATGAAATGGAAGCCTGCGTGTTGTGTTGTTAGCTAAGCCGAAATTCTGAAGAGAAGGTCTACGATGGAATACCTAAACTCGTCTTCTTCTGAGCAGCGCCATCAGACATTGCGGATCATCCGCTGGAATGTTTTCGCTATCTCTCCAAGTCCATTATGATACTTTTGATGGCTTTTGATGTTTGCTGCTTGGTAAGACGGATGGAGAGAAACGGCTTGTAGGTTTCGTAGACGTCAGATGTGTGAGAGCCGGTATCAGAAGTACGCTGAGAAGCGGAGCCAGTGCCGAAGCAACAGGAACTGTGCGCGAGCCTAGAATAGAATACTTTCAAGCTCCATTCTAACTCTAACCTGTAGCGACTCGTTGCCCGGTGCTCACCTCTTAAGCCACCTCGAGACTAAACCGAGCCCCAGCTACCCGCCCGAGCCCTAGCATATCCCGAGATTACGAGATCGGCTATTCTATATATAATCGCGTATAGAAGCGGATAATCGCGTCGATATAGGCCCCGCTAGCCGGGCAACTACTATATACTATATAGTGTAATACTACTACTAGCTATAAAGCTAAAGTTTGTTAGCAAATTAGTAGTATAGCAAAATTGAAGGTGTTATTAGTTGTTAGCTATCTACTTAGGTCTAAGCGGATTGCGACCTGCCGCCTTATAACTACGCGAAGCTATATATACTAGCTTATACTAGTCTCTTAGCTACTAACTAGTATACTACTATTGCTAAGTAAACTAATAGTGCTAAGTAAACTAATAGTACTATTGTTATAGTACGTTATAGTATAGAGGGCTTATTATCTACCGTACTAGCTATATAAGCGATAGCTGCTAGCGGTAGTACTAAGCAGCCTATTATCGTTATTGCTTATAGAATACCGCCTATTAGCGGTTATATTCTACCTGTTGTCTTGCCTACTGTTCTTCTAACTATAGACGGTTGTTCTTATATACTCGAAGGTCCTTAATCTCTCGGCGAAGTAGATTTAGCTTAGAAGGTAGCTCCGGAGCGGCTAGAAGTAATAATAAAGGCTTAACTCGTAAATTATAACACTCGAAGCCGCTTAGATAGTAAGCAGAGCTATACGGTCGATTAGCCTTCTAGCAAGGGCACTATTAAGTGCGGTATTAGCTCTTTATGCACTTATAGTGCTTAACGGTAGTTCTTAACTAAGTAAGCGATACGCTAGGCTCGAGTGTAAAGTCCGCTATTCTTACTATTAAAGTCTTCCGCTTCTTAGCCGCTATAGTCTTATTTAAATTATCTAGTTCTCGAGCCGTTGCTACTCGCTTTGTAGTATATAATGTAGCTCCGCTAGTAAGAGGTTTGCGGTTGCTAAAGATTACTTCCGGTTCTCGTAGATTAAACGTTCTACGGAAATCAATTAACTAGTGCTTATAGAAGTGGCTCGGCAATAGTATAGCGCGGCTTCTACCTGTTTCGAGAAGCTTTATAATGTCGTATTTATAAGGATAACTATAGGTCTTACTAAGGTAGTCGTTATAGCGGCATTGTAAGCAGGTATACGAGTACGCCGAGTGCTTAATCTCGTTGCTATTCTCGTTAGTTATAGTCCGTAGGAGGTCGTTAGCGCGTTAGTATAGAACCTTTACCTCGAGAAGATAGTAATCGCTTACAACTCGAGAAACGCTTGCCTAAAATAGTCTAGTAAGTGCCTTGTTACACCTCTTTAGGTTCTTAGCAAGGCGAATACGGCGACGGTTATGCCCTTCTTTCTACTAGTTAAGAAGGCTCTTAAATAAGGTAAAGATATCGTAGCGGCTGCTATAGTTAAGCTAGACTTTAATACGTCTATACGTAGCTTCAACTCGCGAGGTTGTCTTATAACTAAAGTGTAGAACTTCGTTAGTCTAGCAGTCTACGATATAGACCTTGTATCGCTACTAGTTATTATTGAGATAGGCCTTAAATATAGGATATACGTTGTCTAATTTCCGTGCGTTCTTATTAAACTCGGCTTTAGTCTAGCTATAGATTATATAAGTAAACAACCGTAGAAACTTGCTAGTTTAAGGACTGTTAATCTAGCTACCTAGACCCCGCAGTAGTTCGGTTTCCGAACTACTAAACGTATATAGTTTGGTTTCTTAGCGGCGAACTAGCTCCCTAGTTCCGGTTTGGTTTTTTCGAACTATATAGATTCCTAGTTTGAACTAGAGACTGTATTGGTTTTACTATAAGGACACTCTTATTCGACTACCGGCTACGATTGCCGGCTATAATAGTAACTCTGTTATATTTACTACGCTCTTTTGCCGTTGCTAGGGCGTAGTTGCCGTTACTAGGGCGTAGTTTTGCTACAAGGACACTCTTATTCGACTGCCGGCTACGATTGCCGGCTATAATAGTTACTAGGTTGTATTTACTACGCTTTATTACCGTTGCTAGGGCGTGGTTGCCGTTACTAGGGCGTAGTTGCCGTTACTAGGGCGTAGTTGCTATTGCCGGGGTGTAGTTACCGTAGTTGCGAAAGCTTACCTATATAACGTTACGTAGGCGGCAACAATTAGGGCTTCGCGATATTCTTACACTTTCAACTTCTTCCTCTATACCTATACCGACAATAACTACTATATACTACGCCCCCGCCCCTTTCCCTTATAATAGTAAGAGAGAAGCGCGCCGCGCGCTAAATAGAAGATAGAACTAAAGACCGCGAGTTTGTTTTGCCTAAGCGTCTAACTAAAAAGCGTAAGACTAAAGAGGAGTACTTTACGAAGAAGAATTCCGTACGAGACCGCGAGAGAAAGGACAAGATGGATAAGGATAAAAGAGCTAAGGATAAGAGAAGAAAGGCGCGGAATAAGGCATTCTATCGATAGCTAGCGCCTATAGAAAAAAGTGAAGGTTAGAATAAGAAGACAACCTAAGAGAAGGCTAAGAGGAGGAAAGAATTGCGGCTAGTTTTCGAGCGTAAAGTTCTAGTAGCGTAAGTCAATCTAGCTAGCGGCCGTAGCTAGTAGCTATAGCCGGCAGCCGTAGCCGGTAGCTGTAGCTAGCATATTTTTCTTTAACACATTAACTAATAGTATTTAGACCTATAGTCGCTACCTCTATCGATACGACCGATAGTAACGGAGATGTTTAGATAGCCGAGAACAACAATGCTAGAGTTTAGGATGCCGCGACAGAGCTTAATACTACGAATAAAGGAACTGAAAAAAGCGAGGAGATACTATACGTCGATCTAGTAATAGGTGCAGTCTTAGGGCCTAACGCTATAGACGATAAGCGCTAGGAGTAGATCGAGCACAGTCAAAGAGACGAGATACTAGTAAAGGGCTAAGGTATAAGTCCTATTAATCTAGAAAATCATAGTTAAAGCTACTACGAAAAGCTAGCAAGGATTGGAATCGAGACTAGTCGTCTTTATATCCTCGATATAGAGTAGAAGTTTCTTTATTAGTATTAGAGCGAAGCCTTTACGTCTATAAAGGCAAAGTGGCTTGCGATTAATACGATCGGGGCTAGGTATCTAGGGACGGTAGAAGTGTTACTATAGGAGGAAGGGGTATAGGTAATTATTCTATGCTCGGTATATATAGCCGGCGTTCGTAGCCGGCAGATACTAACAGTTAAACAGAAAGCGTTTCTCGAAGGTAGAGTGCTACTACTATATAAAATCTTTACTAAGGCAGAGAGGGCTTGTATCCGGAATCTAAGCTGCTAGTAGGATAGGTTGGCGTTAGAATTCTCTGAATCTCTATATAAGCCTCTAAAGGATTACCTATTTCAGCGATACGGCTTTATCTCGACTACTCCGTAAGTACCTAAAGAAGCTCGAGCGCTCTTTAAGGTCTTTACTAAGAAGCGGAAGGAGTTCGAGGATTAGGATTAGTTAATAGAGCTATTAGTTAGTCTTAGGTTTCGTAGTTAGACTCGGCCTAAGCATTTACTTGTCGAGTGTCTTATACTAAAAGAGGATGGATTAAGACTAAAAACGAGCTTGGATTCGTTAGGTATAGTAGCTCGGTTCCGTTAGTAGGAGAGAGCCGCCGTATAGAAGGCAAAATTCAGGTAGTTAGGGTAGCTAGGAAAGAAATTCTAGTAGTTAGGCTAGCTAGGGTAGCTAGGAAAAAAAATCTAGTAGTTAGGTAGCTAGGAAACAAAAAAAAAAGGTAGCTAGCTATTTACTGCCTAGCTATTCCTAACGATACGATGCTATAAAAGAAAGGGTGTTTCTCTATAGCTACTAGTATACATCTACTACTCCTAAGTCCTTACCTTACCGTACGAAACCTTAAAATATACCGACCGACATTGTCTATATACTAGGCGCTATACTAGGAAGGGTAATAACGAGACGACAGTCGAAATAGTCTAGTATACGAGCGAGATTGCGACAACGTCGAGAGGAGGTCGTATACTTACCTTCGAGCCTATCGAGTCCTAGACGACGATTAGGGCTAGATTCATCCTCTCCGAATCCTAGTAGTAGGAATTCATTATAGGGTACTACTACTTAGTCCTTACCTTTATAGAGTCTAAGCAGAAGGTTGTTCGGAGATATAAGAACATCGAGTATTAACCCGGAAATCTTCGAAAAGGCTAGCTAGGCGTATCTTTAGAAACCCGAGTATATAGAGCAGTTTAATTAATAGGTCTATAAGATATAGTTCCCTTTATACTTACGTTCGAAGGAGTATAAACTCCGGAAGTACTCGATGCGATAGGGGAGTAAGGAGCGAACGGACACATTCTAGAAGTTCTTTATAGAGGGGGCATTGTACCGTTATACGACTTCTCGACTTAAAGGTTAACTAGTAATTGTCTACAACTTCTATAGTTTAATCTTAAAACACCCGAAACTAGGGGATAGGAACTTATCGCCTACGAACTATCTCTATTCTAAACAGTATCGGGAATCTTAAGGAGAGAGGAGAGTTAATATAGATACAGCGTTCTAGAAAGAGGTATATCTTCTAAAATGCCGGCTATAGCTGCCGGCTATAGCTGCCGGCTACAGATTCCGGCTACCTGAATTAACCGTAGAGATCTAGCTAATTATTATAGGCTACGCTTAAGGAAGCTCTAGGATTAAAGGCTACCGATTTCTCCCCCGAAGACTTTAAGTAACTAGCAAACGAAATGCTAGCTATAAACGGTCTTCCGGAAGACTTCTACGAAAGGGAGTCTATATAGAAGACATACCTATATCTTACAAACTACCCTCCCCTATTTCTCGGCGCGATAACCTAGCGTATTATATTCGAAAAGAACAAAGAGGCTACGTTAGACGACATTCGGGAGATCCTCCGTAATACTCGCCGAGTAGCTATTGCTATCGATAGCTAGTTAAGCCGGACTATAAGAGCCTCCTTCCTCTCGATTATGCTATACTTTATTAATTCGGATTAGAAACTCTAGGAACTTATAATCGGATTCCCTAAAATTCTAGGTTCCTAT